TGATCCAAGGGCAGAGCACAGGGGTCCCTAGCTGACGTGACCCGGGAAGGCTCTGTGGTCCACCGGGTGACACCGGGCGCCCTGGAACTGAGCAGCTTGCTTTTTTTTTTTTTTAAGATTTATTTTTATTTGAAAGTCAGATATACAGAGAGGTGGAAAAACAAAGAAGCTCTTTTGTTCTCTAATTCACTCCCCAAGTGGCCACAATGTCCCAGTTGGAGCTGAGCTGATTGGAAGCCAGGAGCCAAGAGCTTCTTCCTGATCTCCCACGCAGGTGCAGGGCCCCAAGGCTTTGGGCCGTCCTCGACTGCTTTCCCAGGCCACAAGCAGGGAGCTGGATGGGAAGCAGGGCCACCGGGATTAGAACTGGTGCTCATATGGGATCCTGGTGCATTCAAGGTGAGGACTTTAACCACTAAGCTATCGCGCTGAGCCCATTGACAGAGAATTCTGCCAGCTGTGGGACACGTGTCCTGAGTTCCACCTCTCCAGGCTGCAACGGAATTCTCTGGAAACCTAGCCGGCTCTGGGAACACCTACACGGCTGGCTCCTTGGCCTGAAGTTTCCCTGGGTTGCAGATGATGCAACACACACTAGCTCAGGGCCACTGGGTGCCCGCCAGCGCTCACTTAGGAAATCGTGCCTGTAGGGTAACCTACGTCTTCCGTACTTTTCCAGGCTGGAGACTTTGCCAGACGGTTCATGTCAGGAGCCTCTACCCTTAACTCCTTCACTTCCCAATGTGAACGTGGTTTGCCCCAGAAGCGGACTCTGACCCGGAAGCAGAAACGCCAGACCGTGTGCAAGGCCACCGGGCCCCCGCACACCCAGCATTGCCAGCGGCCCCTGACTCTCCTGCATGCCGTGGTTTCTCTTGCCCCCACTCCCTGCCCTGCTCCCACTCCTGTGATGTCGCCAACGTTTCAGCTTCTGTCTCCCCTATGCCCCCCAGTGACTCCCAAGGCCGTGCAAAGTTCAGTGGTGACGCCAGGGCTCAGAAGCCATGGCCACGTCCCCCCATCAGGTGAATCCTGGGTGGGGTTGATTGTGGAGGGAAGCTGCTGGAGCTAAGGCAGGTGCCAGCAGGCTGTTGGCACTCCTCGGAGATGATGCCAGAGGCTGCTGGAGGGAGAGCAATTGCAGCCTCAGGCTTCTGATGTGAACTTGGCTGAGCGGTGCCAAGGAACTGGATGGCTTCGGTAGATGCCAGGACTCCACAGCCTCTGCCCACAAGGCTCCTGACAGATGGGGCCTTGACCAGCACCTCCACTGCACAGACACCGCAGGCCCGTGTCATGGCCCAGGCTGGGCCGCCACTTGCCATGCTGGCAGCCCACACTGGCATGCCGGCTGCTCTGCTTCTGATCCAACTCCCGGCTGGTGCACCTGGGAAGGCAGCAGCTGGCGGCCCAAGTCCGTGGGCCCCTGTGAGACCTGGAAGCTGCAGTTCTGGCCTCCTGGCTCTGGCCTGGTCCAGCCCTGGCTGGTGCAGGCATTTCTGGAATGAACTAGAAAATGGAAGATCTCTCTCTTCCTCACTCATTTTCTATTCTGCCTTTTGAACAATAAAACAAAAAGAAAATGTTCACTCTGCAAGGGGCACACTCAGGTGCCAGGGATGCTGCACAGAAGGCTAAGCCTCTGCCTACAGTGCCGGTACCCCCATGGGCACCTGCACAATGAATGCTAATGTACCTGGAAAATCAGCAGAGGTTGGCTCAAGTCCCTGGGCCCTATGTTAGGAACCCGGAAACTCCGAGCTCCTGCGTTGGACCTGTCCTGGGCCTGGTTGTGGGCAACCATTTGGGGAGTGAACCAGCAGATGGAAGATCTCTGTTTCTCTATAACGCTGTTTCCAAATACGTTAAAACAAAACCACAAACCAACTCTGGTGAGAGGACTGACTGTACAGAGGGGAGGTGGGAGGGCTGCAGTCCCACTGTGTGCCCGTGCATACAGGCCGTGTCCCAGCCCGGACCCGCGTGCAGACACGCTCCTTCCTGTTGTCCATCTTGTCCCCCACCAGCACAGCCTGTGGTCGGCGTGAATGCTGGTGCTGCCGCACCCTCGTTGGGACACCAGCGACCCTCACCTTGTGGGAGCCTGGGAGTCCCGCTCCCCAGCCTGGGTCCTTGAGCCCTTTTCTTGGGGACCCTCTCTTGGCTCTCCTCCCACCTCCTCCACACTTCCCCAGCACCCTCCCTCTCACTAGCCCATGGTGAACTCTGCAGTTCTGAATTCTGCCCTGGGTGCGTGTCCATGTTCCCATGCCAGCACACGTCCTGGAGGGCCGGGATGACTCCACCGGGGCCTGGATTTCATCTTTGGCTACGTTCCCCCGTCCCCATCACAGGCTCCCCTGCCAGCTCTCTCTCCTAGTCTGACTTCTGCCTTGGCATGTTCCCTTGGCTTTCCTGCCAGCAACTCAAGATACAGCCAGCCTGTGTGGAGACATCGTTATAGCTGTTACTGGTACGAGTCCCCTGCTGCTGGCTTAGTGAGAGAACTCATCCTTCCGTACTGGGTACTGGGCACTGGAACTTAGGCTGTGTGTCGCTGCCCCCGCCCCTTTTGATTAGGTGTGAACATGTGACCGAGTTCAGCCAACACAGGGTCAGGGGACCCACGCGCCTGCATGTGACTTCCAAGGACAGGAGAACTCCTGGTACCCCTTCCTGGCTGCCAGCCGTCTGTGAGCAGAACGTACACAGTGACACTGGGCAAAGCAGGAACTGCCAGCACCCCGTGCTGTGCAACCCAGGAAGTCCTAGTGCAGCGAAAGTACACTGCGAGCCAGGAGCCAGGCTCGCCGTTTGCCTCGGGAATCTGTTCTCACAAAAGATCTCTGCTCTTGGCAAAGGAGCCCCTGCTGGGCTGACAGATCGCTCAATGCAGCCAGCGGCGGTCAGGCCCGAGCCAGGGCGTCAGGGCCTTGGTCCGGCCTTGGGAGTGTAGCACTCAGATGCCTTTTGAAAACTACCTATTGATCCAAAAGGCAGAAGGATAGAAGAGAAAGAGAAATAGCTTTCATTTCCTGGGCCCCTGCGCAAACGGCCTCAACAGCCAGGGACTCCATTGGGGTCTGCCCTGTGCATGCCGAGGCTTCAAGTACCTAGGCCACTTGCCACTGCTTTCCCAGCGCCTCAGTGGGAAGCTGAAATGGACGTGAGCCAGCTGGTGCTTCGATATGGGATGCCACTATATTTGAACAAATGCAACTGCAGCCATTTGGGGAGTGAACCAGCAGATAGAAGATTTCTTCTCTCTCTGTGAAATCTACTTTCCAAATAAATCGCTAAAACTTTAGTATGGATAGCTGGAAGCAGATACACCAGAGGGCAGAATAGTCCAGCAACTATTAACTTAGGCCCAAGCTGCCACCCCTCCTCCCTTTTTCCATCTGGGTTATGACTTCTTAAATATCTATTTACTTACTGAAAGCCAGTCACTGAGAGAGACGCATCGGTTCATTCCCTCATGGCTGCCATGGCTGGGGCTGGGCCAGCTCGGAGCACCAGTGGGTCTCCCACACACATGGCAGGGTCCCGAGCCTTCCCACCGTCCCCTGCTGCTTCCTCAGCTGCGTGAGCAGGGAGCTGGATCGGAACCGGAACTCCAGGCAGGCTCACAGGAGCTACTGGGTCACAGGCAGTGGCCCGGCCCCCAGAACACACACACCTCCAGCCTCAGCCAATCTGGATTGTTTTGGGCCAATCCTAGACAGCCTATTAATTCACCCAAAAACATTTCATTCAGCCTGTGTCCCTAAAGATAATGCTTCTTTTAAAAAGTGGGCCTGGCAGACGGCTCAGTGACAATCCTCACTTTGTACATGCTGTGACTGTGGCCCCGGCTGCTCCACTTCCCACCCAGCTCCCTGCCTGTGGCCTGGGAAGGCAGTGCAGGACGGCCCAAAGCCTTGGGACCCCGTACCTGGTGAGAGGTCTAGAAGAGGCTCCTGGCTCCTGGCTTCGGATCAGCTCAGCTCTGGCAGTTGTGGCTGCTTGCGGAGTGAATCAGTGGACGAAGATCTTCCTCTCTGTCTCTCCTCCTCTCTGTTTGCATACCTTTCTAACAAAAAGAAAATAAACCTTTAAAAACATTAATCATTGTTAGAGGTCACTGAATATTTACATTATGGTTTTATTATTTTATTTGTTCAAAGCAATGCCATTCAAGTTCCTTTTTCACCATTTTTAATGGAAGGATAATGTACATGGGAGAAAAAACCCGCTGCAGACCATTGTTAAACGCAAGACTCACGAATTTCCTCCCCTCCTTAAACTACAGACCATCCCTTCTCAGGTTCCCTTGGAATTCCCTGCAAGGAATGTGGATCTGCCAGTGGTGTCTGGTGCGTGCACGTGCGGCCACCCAGGGCGACTCAGGCCCGTGCAAGCAGCGAGCTGACCGCGAGGGTGACCAGATCGTGCCCCGTGCCCCGGCCTGGGCTCCCCACGCAGCTTTGAGGTGCCCGCGAGCCCACGGGCCAGCGCCACGAGCGCCCCTCCGGCGACGCATGGGCCGGGGAGGAGGAGGTGGCCGCCGGGCTGTGTCCAGGACAGCGCAGGGACGGAGCCGGCTGCTCCGAGGCGCCCACGACCCCCGAGGAGGTGCGGGGTCGTCGCCCAGGCCCGGCCTCCGCAGGCGGCCACGCGCGCAGCCCTCCGCCTCCACCTCAGCGCGCCTCTGCAGGAGCCACGCCCCCGCTCGCCCCGCCCCGTGACGCACGGCGTGGGCGGAGCCGTCGCGCCCCGCCGCTCCAGCGGCCTCCAGCCACGGCCGCCGTCGACCCGGAGCTCCTCCCACGCGCTGTCGCTCAGGGGCCCGCGCACGCGCGACGCGGCCGTAGCGCTGCGGCCCTCCCCTCCCCCCGCCCGCTGGGCCGCGCCCGCGCATGCGCGCCGCCCCGCCCTCGCCGTCACCCGTAACAACCACGGGTGCCCCGGCCTCGCCCCTCCGCGCTCCCGCCCTCAGCCCGGAACCCGCGGGCGAGCGGCGGCGGCGGCAGGCCGGCGAGGGAACGGCGACGGCCGCGCGGAGCCGCCGGCATGAGCGAGCCCAGCCGCCCCGCGCGCCAGGCCGGGCCTTTCTGACCGGAGGTAGGTACGCGGGTCGCCCCGGGCCGCTCGGCCGGCCGTCGGCCGCCTCCCCTCCGCGGGCCGCCTCCCCTCCGCGGGCCGCTCTCCCCGGGCCGGCTGGCGGCTCCGAGCCTGCGGTGGGGCGCCCCTGCGGCCGGCGGATGGCTGGAGCCCGATTGTCCGGCAATAGAGGATGCCGCCCGTCCCTGCGGGTGCCTCTCTGGACCGGAGCATCCCCGAGCCGGGAGCTGGTTGGGAGCCGGAAGCCTTGGGATGCCGACGGCTTGCCGGGACCGGACCCCCTCCTCAGAGTTGATTGTCCCCGGTTAGATGTTTGCAGAGATGTTGGACTCCCCTGTTGGAACGGGTGGAATGTGGCCGCCGGGGCGTGTCGGTCCCGGAATCCCGAGCTGGAAGGCTCCCGGCTGGCCGAGTTGGGAGCTGCTCCCGATTTCACAGCTGCAGTCTTGGAGGATCGTCTGGCCCTGAGACGGGGCGGCGAGTTCACGGCCTGTCTGAGGCCCCCGGGCTTGTCTCCCCAAGCTGTCGGAGGAAGGGGTTGCCAGCACAGCCTCCTCCGAGAGCCGTGCCAGGGAGAGCTCCAGATCGGCCTCAAGGACCCTACACTCTGGAGAGGAATTCTGAGCCCGAAACGTGGGGATGTTTGTTCTGGCGTGGCAGCCGTGGGCTCCTCCTCTGGTCGATGGCTCCCCGGTTGCCCGGCCCGGGACAGGCTCCCTGCATTTCTTTCTTCTCCCGACTTTGAAGTGGGGGAGTGAACATGTTTGCTGGAGCGTGGTTGGGAGCCTGCAGGAGTGCGGGGCTGGTGCAGTGTAGACTGTTGTGCTGCGCAGCCAGTGGGGGCTGGAAGTTTCAGAGGAGCCAAAGAACTTGGGCTTCCTGCCCCGCTGAAGGAGAGTTCCCCGAAGCTGAGCTGTGCGCAGCTAGAAAACAGGAAGCGGCTCAAGGTTCCTCCGAAGGCAGCCGTGGAAAAGTACTCTGTGCTGTGGCATGCCCCGGGGTTTCGCTTTTTTCCCCCCATTTTCATTTTTGTATTCCGCTGAACTAACCTCTCCACATCTTAGGAGTTCCTGTTTGGCTCCTGGTGGAGATGGTTGGCCAGAACATGATGGAAGCCCTGGTCCTGGGATGGGATGGTTGGTTGGAAAGGCCACCAGTCATCTGGCTCTTGGGCCCGTCCCTGTGGCCCTCTGCCTTTGGTTCTGGCTGCACCCTGTGGCCCTCCGCCCTCAGACTCTGGGCCTGGCTGCACCCTGTGGCCCTCTGCCGTCGGGCCCGTGCACCCCTGTGGTGCTCCAGCTCTAGGCCTGCCTGTGCCCCTGTTCCCCGTTCCCTGCCTTTCTTCCTCGTGTCCCTGTGGATGCGCGTGTCAGCCTTTCAGCCTGTGTGCGACCTGGCGTGCCTTTGTGCCATGGTAGGACGTGTTCACGCCTGCTCAGTCCTTCTGTAGCTAACTGCTCATGTGTGCTTGTGTTTCACAGGTGTGAAGGCACTGCTTGGAGTTACAATCATGGTGCAAAAATACCAGTCCCCGGTGAGGGTGTATAAACACCCCTTTGAGTTAATTATGGCTGTAAGTACCCCACCTTTCCGGTTCCTCTTGGCTTCTTTTCTGAGCTTTGGAGTTGGATCTGTGAGCCCAGCCTTGCTGTTATTCTGTTTCCATGCTTCGAAGCATTACTTAGAATGTATCAGACATTTTAAACATGGAAGCCTCTGGAAGCTGAAATCTGCTTGCTTGTTTTTGAAAACTGCCCCCTGTTTGTGTTGCTTGTCTCTTTAAGATGCAGAAGTAGCATTGAGCCACACTTCCTGTTGGTTTTGCTGTCTCCTTTTTCTGCTTGTTACTTTAGAAAAGGGGTGTGGAGGTGGGTTTCTTGGGGAGCTGTGTTTCCATGAGCACCCTGCTGATGGGTGTCCTGGGGTAGACGCCTCACTTTAGTCAGGGCTCTGTTGAGTAAGTTTTTCCTCCAGAGTAGAATCCGCGAGTCACATGGGAAGTCCACCAGTGGGGTGGCTGACTGTCCTTGTGCACGTCGCTTGGCTCAGTGTGGCCAGAAATAGGTCTTTTACTAGCTGCAAACTGCAGGCCATTGCTAGGTTCCTGTGGGGAATTCGTACCTGCTCAGTGTGGCTGTGGAGGGACAGGCTCCACCAGGCAGCCTGCGGAAGTGTCACACACAAGAGGCACAGGCTGGTGGCGGCTGCCATGGCCCTGGGGAGGCCCCCGGCCCTGCCCTCAGGCCCTTCACTCGCCCTGTCTGAACTGTTAGCCTGAGTCTCTTCCTGGTGTAGACAAGAGCTCAGGGCCTATGGCGCCTGTCTGCCCTGCTGGGGGTGGGAAGGGTCTCCATCAAAGGTGATAAAAAAAAAAAGCCCAGATAGGTGATAGTGCCTTGTAAATCAGAGGGTTTTTTGTTTTATTTTGTTTGTTTTTAAGTCTGATTTGTATACAGCCAGTGGTGTGCAGTGTGGTCTGACGGAGCAGCCGGCTCTGTCAAGGGGTACAGGGTACAGAGGTTACAGGTTCCCTGCAGCAGGTGGGAGGTTGTGTGCTTATGCATGTGTGTGTGTGCGCATGCATGTGCATGTATGTTCCTTTAAGGTGTCCTGGGGCCCCCCAGCATGTTTGGCCAGCGCTGCTGTGCTTCCTACTCCTGACTGGAGAGGCTGTTTCCGGTTGGCACGCTGTCTCTACTGCTTTTGGCTCTTGCTCCTCGTGTGGAACAAAGAGCACTCCAGCAGGCTTGAAAAGGAGTTTTGTATGCGGGACGCATGTGGCGTGATAGGAATCGCACACAGGAGAAATTCTGGCCAGGCCGGGCTGGGTTCCAGGAGCCCGGCGAGGAGGCCGGTTCCTGGCACGCGGGGCGCAGCGCAGCTGTCCTTGGGGCCTGGCTCAGCAGTGAGGCTCTGCCTGGCTCCTGTCACCCCTCCCCCTTGGGGCGTTTGCTTGTTGCATTCTTTCAGTTTCTAAGGGAGCAGTTCACAGTCTTGAGAGGGACACTGATTCCTTGTGTCCCGGGCTGGGCGGGTGCGCAGCCGTGCTGCCTGACCCTGCCAACCGGGAAGGCCTGCCGAGTTGGGTGCCCGAGTTGAGTGTCGAGGGGAAGGCAGTGCCCTGGAAGTGGAGGGAACTGCCCTGCTGCCCGCCTCGCTGATAGCCTTGATTGTGTGAAGACATGGCAGTGACATGCAAGGAGAGCAAGGGCTGTTTTGGTGTGAAAGTTGAAATAGTGAAAATGTCGCGAAAAGCGCTGCCTGGGTCTCAGAATTTTTGGTACCAAATTAAACTTATTTGTGATTTTCTTTCCCATGAACCTGTGCGGTGCTCACGTATTCCAGACCCGTGAGTCCTGCCTTGTCTGCCTCGCTCGTGAACTGACAGAGAACTTGGAGTCAGCCACCGGGGCCGCCCACTGCCCTGCATGGCCTTCAGACGGCCCTCTGAGGCAGTGTGGTGTTTTCTTTCCGCAGCTTCAGTTTCGAAAATGGTCTTTACTTGGAAGGTGGGGCTATGTTTTATGTTTTCCCCAAACGTCGCCTTTGCAGAGCTGGAATGTGGCTGCTGACTTCTGCGGCGGCGTTGCCTGCACTGTCATTGTGTTGTGTGCCAACCTCAGAGTGGACTGCACCTTTTTCTGCTTGAGGGGGAGCACAGGGCCCTGGCATCAGGCTGGAAGTGAGCCCTCGAGCTCATCCTCTGTCAGTTCAAGCAGGAACCCTGACTCCAGGGAGACATCTGTGCCACCCTGGGCAGGAACATGTGTCTGTGGAAGGCGGAGCAGGCGACAGGAGGCAGCCCTGGCGGGTGTGGGTGGTGCTCATGCCTGGAGCGGCTGTGTGGGTCCTGTGACTGAGAGAAAAACTGCTCACTCCCTCTAGTGCTCCTGCCTCTGTGTGTGTGTGTGTGTGTGTGTTCTCAAGAGATTTGTTTGTTTGAAAGAGTTAACAGAGAGGGGGGAGACGGAGAACTGTCATCTCCTTACTCCCCGGATGTGGCCGCACAGCAAGGACTGGGCCAGGCTGTTGCCAGGAGCCTCCTCTGAGTCTCCCTCTTTGGTACAGGGGCCCAAGTGCTTGGAGCATCTTCTGTTGCTTTTCTCATGCCATTAGCAGGGCACCGGATAAAATTGGAGCAGCCAGGACCTGAGCTGGTGCCCATCTGGGTGGCAGGTAGCAACTCTGCCTGCACCCAGCACTGTATGCTCCTGACCCCCCTTTTTTAACTTACAAAAATTTTTTTTTGAATTTTTATTTATTTATTTATTTATTTATTTTTTAAGATTTATTTTATTTTTATTGGAAAGGCGGATATACAGAGAGGAGAGACAGAGAGGAAGATCTTCCATTCGATGATTCACTCCCCAAGTGAGCGCAACGGCCGATACTATGCTGATCCGAAGCCAGGAGCCTCTTCTGGGTCTCCCATGCGGGTGCAGGGTCCCAAGGCTT